GTAAGACAAACATTCTCCTCCAGCAAGAAAAATAAGCTCACAGGTGGAGAGTAGCAGGTGTTTTCTGTAAGTAGCCTTCAGCATGTTGAAGATTAATGTCAAGAGGATATAAGTAAGGCACTAATAAGATGTGCTACACCAAGTATATGGATCTGGAATTCAGGGAAAGATTTACATTAGAGAAATAGATTTGGAAATCATTAGGATAGGGCTGGCCAAATTCTACATGTACTTCCAAAACCACAAATTTACTTAGCTGGAGAAACATTAAGTAAGAAAAGAGAAAGAAGATATGAGCCAGCTACTTAAGTGGCCTGGAGACCAAGGCAATGGCCCTTAGAGGATGGGCTAGTCTCCTTTAGGGAACAAGATCTAAAGAGGATATGAAGTCCACTTTGAAGGTAGGCAACATGCAAAACAAGACAGAGAATGGGAACTGCTAACAACTACAGGGAAAGGGCAGACTTCCCTAGTGAGTTTAAGTGTCCGGGAAGAGTAGTTATGCCCTGATGACAGAGACTGTATGTGACCTGGAGGAAGGCACAATATTCACCAATTAGTAGAGCTCTGAAAATGACAAATAACAGAGCTGGCATAATCAGAAATTCCAGTAGGAAACCTCAGAGCAGAGGGATTCTATCAAAAGGGGTGAAATATGAGAATAAGGATAACCCAGTGATCTTATTAATCCCAGAATGGAAGAATTTCTCTACTAGAAACTGTAGTTGAAGGGAGAGAGAAAACTTACTATAAATCACTCAGAATTAGGACATTTACAGACTCTGTGAGACAGTGTGAGTTCAGCCTACTGTATATCTCTTGGTATTTGTTGATTTTCGTTTTCCTTCAAATTGGTCTCTTTCTACAACACCATTCAACAACATTCCCTAGCACGGTGCATCAGAACAGTACATATTTTAGGCTTCTGAGTGGTAGCTTGAGTCAAAATATAATGGTTCAAAATATATTTGGGTCAACCCTATATATGCAGGTCCTAGATTCCATGACTATCTTTGATGAATATTCCATTAGCATTTTGATCTATACAGAACTGAACATGGAAAGCCTATGGCAAAAGTAATAATAATAATAATAACATTTAATGTTGGCTTTCACTGTGGAGCTCTCAAAGAAAACTCTGATACCATGTCACATACCCAAGCATTTCACTCCAGGTCCAGACATTTCTCCAACCCCAAAACAAGCTTCTGATAATTTCAGTATTGTATGAGTCCCAGTTATATGCAAAGAGGGCATATCAAAAAGCCAGCCACTTCCAGTGTAGTGATAGCTATATAGTTGGGAAGGAAATTTATCTTCATCCCAATTGAGTCTTAAAAGTCTTAAGCTTCAGTCTTTGCATCTTTGCAACTTTTACTCCTTCCATTCAGTTAAAAAAAAAGTCTTTCTAAGATTGGTGTCAATTGGAAAGTATTTGTGTATCCTGGCTGTTAAGATGGAAAGTGTGAATTTACAGAAACTCTAATATGTATAGAGATGGTGGGAAGTTTAGTAGAGAGTGGTGGAGGGGCAGTAGATGAGAGTGGGGTGCCTATGGGACAGAGCCAAGAAAATGAGACTTGCAGACTGAGAGTCAATTATGCTCAGATTTCAGTCTCCCCACCTATGCGCCAAAGACAACGTGTTAGGGGCTGGGTGAAAATGCTTTAGTCATAGCCAGGAAAAGAGAGCCTAGTAATGTGTTGCTCTGTTTAGTAACGAGGGTGGGGAGCATTTGGGCTTCATTTAGTCTTGCTGGCACAATCAGGTAACACCATACTAAGGCTAAACATAGTTATAAGATTAAATAAACTTTGGTTGATTTTTCATAATCCTTCTTAGGGATGATATAGCTGGGTATGGGGGGAATCAACTAATAATATAAACTTCGTTCTCCAAATCCCATCCTCATTCTACAAAAATATGATTCATTAACCTGGGAGAAGTAGAGATGGGGAAACTAAATCAACATCTTGGTCTTCTCCTTAGATTGAGGTTTGGGGACAAAATTCATAAACAATACCTAGTGAATAATATTTTAAAATTTTCTTTTCCTCCTTGTCTGCGTTTTTTAGAAAAACTACTAGATCTCTTTTTAGAGTTGAGAAAGAGAACCGTTTAATTAGAGTTATAGGGAACTGCTTGAGGTCTAAGCCAACTGGCTCAAATTCTTCTGTTTGTGACTGGAAAATCAGTTTGGCTCTTTCACGTTTGGGGTACTTTTATAGACTTATTTTGGTTTTTATTTGACATGATTTCACAAGCCAGAAACTCAGTGCTGCTGGAAAAGACATACCCTTATTTAGTGCTTCCACTCACTGGCTATTCCTTCTCACGTTGACCAAACTACTCCATGCATGGGCTTTAGCCTGCATCTCCATTATTATCCCACACCAGTCCAGAGCCACCTGCCAGCCAATTCTGTGAGCTCCCCTCTGGTTTCTCACACTGAGATCTTGCCAGGAGCTTTGCCAAGTCTGGAATAATCAGAGCTCTTTTGCGGAACTACTTCACTGGGGTCACTGCTTCTCTAAAACTCAAAGTCCACCATGAAATATGTTGAGAAGGTGAGAAATAATATCCTAGAGTCTCACAACACATGCCAGCAACATTACACATTTATTTATGAAGCTCCTTTTCAACAATCACAGGATGGAGCCAAGGTAGCAACAGTTAGAGGGAGCAACCTAAGAACAAATGTTGGCAGTTCTACTTAAAGTCACAAAACTATCTAAAGCAGCAGCAGCTAGTTCAGCTATTGAGTATATCCTTCAAACCAAAGTACTCTTTTATTTTTGCCTTTTGTATTAAATATAGTATGCTCATTCTCACACGGTACAGCTGCAAAACCACACATCACAAGAATGATAAATATTGATGCTAAGAAACGTTTTAGCATGTCTGAGCACTAGGAACCTAAGATAAGAATCCCTAAGGGTTATTTCTTATGAATGAAATAACAAAATAGTTATCTGCAGAAATAATCCGTAAGTGGATGACTGAAGACTGTTGGGAAATCCCTACTCTATATTCCAGTTAAAGTGGCCTTAGGACAGGATCTGTATTATGTCTAAATTGTAGCATCAATTGTACTGTAACTTGTGTGATAAAAACTAAAGGTGTTAACATCAGAGAGGTGATCAGCAGGGTTAGTAAAAGGAGCTAATGAGTAGAATTACTTTTCCATGTATCTCCAGCTCTGTCCAGAAAAGAGAGAGCTTGAACAAAGGACCCAAACATCCATTCCTTTTGGTTGGTCTTCTTGTATAACGCACAGGGTGAAGGCACCAGTCATTAAGATCTTCCAGAGGACTCACTTTTTAAAATTTCATGCTCAGCAAACACCTGGTTCCACTCCTCTTGTAAGGAGGCAGGAGTGGGTATGAGAAAGGCACTGGGGGGTTTCAGCGTGGAGAAGGTTGTTAGACATGCCAGAAACATGAGAAAGCCACAAGTCACATACCCAACATCAAGCAGAGAGGCAAAGCTCATAAGCCGGAGGTGGGTGTCTAAACCAGTCTCTCAAAAATAATAAGAGGGCCAACAATAGACACTATGCTCTGTTACAGAGCCAAAAACATGGAGACCAGGATAAGTAAGGCCGGGGCGGGGGGTGGGGAAATGGGTTGAGCAACTATGATGAAAGACATGGAAAAATGTTACTTCTGACTCAGATGATGTCTGAAGCTGGCTTTTCAGTACATTTTGTAGCTGAATGTATGAGTACCTTCTTGAATTGCTATAAATACCTGGGACTGGGTAATTTATGAGAAAGGAAGTTTAATTGGCTCATGGTTCTGCAGGCTGTACAGCCAGGCATCTGTTTGGCTTCTGATATGGCCTCAGGAAGATTGCAATCATGGTGGAAGGCAAAGGGGGAGCTGGCAAGTTACATGGTGAAAGCAGGAACGAGAGAGAGAGAGAGTAGGGAGAAGGTGCCACACATTTTTAAATGACCAGATCTTGTATGAGCTCAGAAAGAGAGAGCGTTTCCTTATCACCAATGGGCTGGCCCAAGCCATTCATGAGGGATCTGCTCCCATGATCCAAACATCTCCCCCCAGGCCCCACCTCCAACAGAAAATTTGGGCAAGGACAAATATCCAAACTGTGTCACTTGATGTGAGAAAAATATGTAGGAACCTGATCGTGGAGGGCCAAGAGTGGCTAAATTAAGGAGTTTCAGTTTTCTTCTAGAAAATGAGGAGCGAATGCAGAATTTTAATGTCAGAAGTAGAATTATCAGATGCATAGAAAGTTAATAATCAGAAGTGAAATAAGACAAATATAAAACTTTCATTTCTGAAAACATAAGTACATTAAAAGTTATTTTGTTATTCATTTAGCTGCAAACCAAATGTAAGCCAATAATCAATAGAAAAATGCTCATTCTCTAAGTACTCAGCCGGATTTTTTACTTACTCAGGTGGAATGTAATATCATCTATCAGACATCTATTAGATGATCTTATCAATATTAGAGGGAGTATAACACCATTCTGTTATATCAGAATTCTGCTATTCATGACATGTCTACTTTTTGCTTTTGTCTTTTGGTCAAAGTCTTCATTAGGTGACAAAGCCAGCCCCTTCACAAACTGCCCTAGTGTTCCAATAAATATTGTGGTTCATGGTCTGTCCCTTTTAATCAAGGAGAAAAAATAATGGAAAAAACAATTCATTTACATTATTTCTTGAAATTTACATTCTGGAAGAGGCTCTGCTTTTATGGTAGAATTTGGTACCTGCATCCTGCAGATCCTGTCTACTTTCAAGCTTCTAGCTGATAGACATGCATAAAGACTGGATCACCTAGCAAGTACCAACTCCTATCTTACTGCTCCATGAGACAGGCAGTTGAAAAGACAGAGTGGAACCTGTTTCTAACCTTTATGTGACAGTAACCCCACTTCCTTATAACGTGGCCCACAGAATGCCAATGACTGAACAATCAAATTAGCTATTCATCTTCTAGTGGGAGGGGTCAGTGGGGGAGATGGAGAGGAAGAAGCAGCAGTCTTCATTCCTATACCTCCCTTTTGAAGCTTGAGGAATAGAGGACTCCTTTTTAAACACAGAGGAAATGGGCGAAGATGGGAAGAAAACAGATCCCTTCTCTGTCATCGTGCTCAGCTTCAGTAAATCAGGATTTTATTTTAGAGAAGAAATGGTAACTGGCAAAACAAAATGCTTGTCTGGGAATGTTGAGTTATGTCTAAGCAAGGAGTTGAAAAATACCTAATGAATCCTAAACTATTAACAATGACCTTAAAAAAAAAAAAAAAAAAAACTAATATGAAACATGGGAAGAACTCGACCAGATTTGTAAGTATCATAAAAAACTTTTAAGAGACTCTGTTGCACTCACATGTTTTCACATATTATCAGAAAATATATTCTTGAAATGTTTATTTTAGAAAATGAGAAACTCAGGAAAAATAACTTACATATATTTTATCTGTTTAAGATGTGGATATACTACTTTAAAATATACAGAGTAAAAGATAGATGATTTTTGGCTTAAAGAAAAGTAGGATGTATGCACACAACACAAAATTATCTAAATAATTCAGGTTCTAAACTACTTTTTATTTAAGAAATATTTGCATAATTTAGTAATCATGATTATAATTATTTCAGTTTTCCAGTTGGCCTTGTAAAATGGTACTACTGATAAATGAGCTTCTGCTTAGGCAAGATTACTCAGAGTTGCCAGTGAAACAACTCTATCCCTCCTCCTTATACTCCTTGTAACTAATAGCACACATTTATAAAGCTGACTAGAAAGAGGAACACAGCGTATGGTATCAGAACATTTTATTCCACATCTGGAAAATTGTCCCTATGAAACGAAACAAACTGGACTATATAAGGACCAGATGTCAGATTCATTAACACCATATTTTAACCTAGTAAGAGAAATGGTCTTTTAAATATATATCTAAGGACTGGACCTGTTTATGAAAATTCATAGGAGAACTTTGTCCATTATGAGAGAAATTTTTCCTAAGTTCTATTCTGTGCCTACAGGGTTACGGTAAACAAAATGGCTCAAATGTTTTGGTCTCATCCTGTTCAATGTACTTAAACGGATTTGGCCATAACTTAAACATGGTTATTTCTCAGTGATCCAATCTAGTTTCATTCCTTTAAATACTATCCATATGCTATCCATTCCCAAACACACATCTCAAACCCTGACCTCTTTCCTGAACTTCAGACTCATATATTCAAGTACCTACTCAGCATCTCTTTTTAGGTGGCTAATAGACATTTCAAACTCAATGCCTCTTCTCCTCAAACTTGTTCCGCCTTCAGCCATCCCCCAATTTGTTGAAATATCACTATTCCTCTAGTGGCTGAAGCCAAAAACAAAGGAGTCGTCCTTGTTTATTCTTTCTCTTTTACATCCCACTTTCAATGAATCAGGAAATCTTGTTGCCTCCTCCTCCAAAATATATCCAGGATCTGGCCACTTCCCATCACACCATAATATTATCTGGGTCCAATCTACCATAATCTGTTGCCTGAATTATTGCCAATAGCCTTCTACTTGGTTTTCCTTCAGATCACACTGCGTTATCTCCTCGTTTCACTCAGAATACAAGCCAAAGTCCTTAGAACAGTCTAGAAGGTGTTAGACCATGTGGTTCCTTGTGGCCATTCTGGGTTACTCGCACTTGCTCCGCCCTGATGACATTGTCCTCGTTGCTGTTCCTCTAACACATCCAGTCATTTTCCGGGATAAGGACTTTTACCCTGACCGTTTTTGCCTGGAAGGCCATTCCCTCCAACTGCTTAGCAAACTCCCTTACCTCCTTTAAGGATGTGTTAAAATGTCATTTTTCAATAACTATCCTATTAACAATTGCAACCACCTAGCACTCCCCTTCCAGCACTTGTGATCCCCCTTACCTCTTCTGCTTTTACTTTTCTTCTCTTTTTTGCATATTCCTTATCACCTAATAGCATGCTATATTATTTGTTTGTTTTTATTGTTTATTTTCTGTTTTTCTCTGTCCAACAGATCATAAGTTCACTGATGTGTCCCAAGCATTAAGAACAGTTCTTGGCACATATTAAGCACTCAATACATATTAAATGAGTCAATTGCAAGACCTGGCATTGATCATAGATTTGTCATTGCTTAATTGAGAAGAAAAGATTTTTTCTTCCAGCTGACTAAAGTAACTAAAATACTGTCACTTTCATGTTTACCACCTGACAGAAGTATCAATCTCCCCCTCTCCTACAGTTTGCGCATTTTCACAAGCTCAGGATCAAAATAAAGGAAAGGAGGTGAGCAAGAAGGAAGCCTTTTCCCTAATTCCAGAAGCCTCCAAGGGACATTTCGTGCATGATCCTATCATTGTACTTAACAGACCACATTATAATTTTTGTTTGTGTATCACTTCTCATCAGTATGACAGCTTCCCAAGAGCAGAGACTATTTTATTCATCATTTTCATCTCCAGTGCCTGGCACCCTATATAACAGTAATGACACTCAATAAAAGATTACAAAATAATGGATGAACTATCAGGGGCAGAGTGTCAGGGAAGAAAGGACGTAACATTTGAAGAGTGAGTGAGTGTGACTTCCTGTTCCGTTAACAATAAAAGCTTTGCCAAATTGTTTAATTGCTCTGAGTCTCAGTTTCCTCATCTATAAAAGAAAAGTAAATTTTCTCTGAAGATTAAATTAGGTAATGTGTGCAATGTACTTAGTAGGGTCCCTAGAATATAACAAACATTCAGTAAATGAGATATGCCTACTATTTATATCATACATATGTACACTTTAAATTATACGTGTGTGTGTGCGTGTGTGTATAGGAGCAGAAGCAGGTAGCTCCCTGCTCTCAAGGGAGACCTTTGATTTGTTTGTTACTGCTAGTGGGCATGGCCACCGTGGGTTAAGGCCTTTTTGGCTTCTAGTTTTCATTACATGTGTGAAGTTGAGTATGCTGTCATTGCTTTGGCTTCCTGTACCTCACTGATAGAGAGAGGGAAATAAGGGCACAAGTTTCAATCCTCAAATATAAGCTCCATGAGGATAAAGATTTTTTTTTATCCCTCTCCCCTACCTTTTTATCTGCTGTATCCCTAATGCCTAGTAGAACAATGCCCCATAAATATAAGTTAAAAGCTGAATAAATTTGGTTTCAGGCTCAAGGTAAGGTAGAAGTCCTACTTAAGGCTGGGGTTAAAACCATGCATCTGGCCCGGTTTTATCATAGTTTTGCAAAGAAATGCTCAGTATTAACCCAGCTACTACCTAATAGGTATCTTGATTTCCATTTGCTCTAATTATTGATGATGTGTTTCCTCACAACATTTTAGGGAGAAAAGGGGGTCTGCAGAGAGGCATCTGAGCAACACTTAATCTTCTAGCTTTATATAGTCAGATACATCCTCCCTTAGTTCTTATAAAAAATATAAAACTTAATGACAGACATGAAGAAGGTTGGAATAAATGGGGATATACTGTATTTCTGGTAGAGAAATCTCAGTATTCTAAAGACGTCACTTCTCCCCCAAATAAATCTATTAATTCAGTGGCATTATAATTAAGATCTCAATAGAGTTTTACTTGAGAAGATGTGAAGGCAAAACTTGATAAATTTGATACATTAGATAAATTGAAGTGTATTTGGAAAAATAAGTGTATGAGAATATCTAGAAGAACATTTCAAAGTTCAATACAGAAGGGCGTACTTATGATATCAGGTATCAAACTATAGATTTAGACTACAAAACTTAAAACAGGATGACACAGTAATGGAATAAGAAAATAAATCAATGTGATAAACTAAAGAGTCTAGAAACAGATGAAATACATGTACTAACTTGGTACATGATAAAGATGTTATTTAGTATTTTGGGGAAAAGTTTGTCACATGTTCATTTATAGAAAAATAATATGGCTGGATACTTCATGCAGTATACAAACGTAAATCCAGATTGAATAAGTAATACATGTAAGAAACAAAACTATGAAAGTATTAATGAGAAAAGAGTATATTTTTAAAAACTGAGAGTGAGGCTGACCTTCCTAAGCAATACATAATACACAGTGACATACTATTAAACCACAAAAAAGAATATAATCATATCAAATAAGCCAGGTACAGAAAGACAAATACCACATGCTCTCACTCATATGTGGGAGCTAAAAAACTTCATTTCTTGGACATAGAGAGTACAACATTGGATACCAGAGATGCCAGAGAGAGAGTGGTGGGTGACTAAACAGAGATCTGTTAATGGTAGGAACATTCAATTAGATGGGAGTAAGTTCTAAGGTTTTATAGCAGACTAGGATAACTATACTAAGCAACAATATTTTGTAGATCTCAAAGAAACTAGAAGAAAGGCCTTGAAATGTTCCCAGTGCATAGAAATAATACTTAAGATGACGGATACTCCCCAAAACCCTGACTTGATCATTACACATTTGATGCATGTAAGAAACATTAATTTGTACCCCATAATATGTAAAATATTATGTATCAATAAAAGAAAAAATAATGAAGTAAACATTTTTTAAGTTTATAAAAAATGAAGTAAAAAAAGAAGTCAAATTTAAAAAATTATACCTGAAATATATTATAAAAAAGATTGATACCTGATAAACAAATTTAAAAAAAGACAACCAGATTGAGTACATTAGCCAGTAATGTAATTAGGCACTTCACAGTCAAATAAAAATAACTTGTAAGTTTAAGAAAAGATGATCATACTCATTAGTAAGTAAGTAAATGTTTATAAAACACATTGAAATACTTCTTACAACTTAATCAACTGACAAGCATTTAAATAATCTTTGATAGCCAATGCTTATAAGAATGTGGAGAAATAAGTACTCTTCTTCTCTCATTATAGCATATTTCAGCAAGGCAACTTTGCAATCTCTAGCAAATTTATAAATATGCATATACTTTGACTACACAATTCCAACTCTTTTAAAATACACCTAAGGATATATATATACACACGAGAATATCTATTTTGACATTACTTTGAACAGTGATAAATTAGATGCCATGTAGATGCCCCTCAATTTAAAAAGTGATTATATAAATTATGGTAGTTCATACTTTAGAATACCCATTCATCTGTTAAAACATAATAACATCAGTCTCTGTTTATTGACACCACATGGTGTCTATGACTTGTGACAAATAAGCTATAAAACAAATTATATATATGTACATGGAATATTCATATTTTTAAAAATCATGTGTATGTATAATTTTGTTTCATATACTTCTGTGTTTGAAATTTTTCACAAAATATACCACCTCTGAAATTAATGTAAATGAGAAAAGTACTGAGTTTCTCTCTCTCTCTCTGTATATATATACACACACATATATATATGTGCACATACACATAAACACACACATATATACACACTATATATATGTATATATACACACATACACACACATATATATGTTCATGGATAGATAACTTGATAAAGGTTAAAAAAAATTGTCATGTAAAGCAGGTCACATTGAGAAGAGTAATGACCTACATTAAGGGACAGAATCAGCTTGGGTGACTTCACATGGCAGGAAACAGGAATGAATACTTTATCTTGATTCTCTTTCCTCTCTGAGATATGGGGTTCCTCAATGTCTGATGGCAGTTGGAAAACAGTGGGCAAGAGAGTCCATAGATGTAAACTCTACAGGCCAGATTTCTGGGGACAGGGCCAAGTGGAAAAGGGTAGAGAGGGGATCCATACGTGCAAAAAGAAAATAGCTAGCACCCTGACTTTAATGGAAATGCTTCTAAAATTTATTTTTTTAAGTAAAATATTTGTTCACTTGGGGGAAATATTTTTTATAAGTTAAGAGTATTCCCTGCCAATTCTAGTTATTGTCATAAATAAATTGAACTTTTTAACCTTTTTGTTTCTTGCATATATTAACATGATCACATAGTTTCCTCCTTTAATCAGTTAATATGATGATATAAATATAAGTTTTCCAATGTTGAGCCATCTTTGTATTCCATAAATTAAACACTACTGGGTATCAATGTATTATTTGTATACAAATAGTTCTTTATTTTGCTAATATTTTATTTAGAACTTTTGAATATCCACATTATAAGTTAGAATGCATTACAATTTTGTTTTGTTCAAGTATCCTTGATTTAATGTATTTTGTCAAGGCTTTTCATTTTTGTTTGCTGAAAGAGGTTGTATAAGTAAAAATTTTAAGTTTTTTAAGTTATAAAGATTTGGCAAAACATGCCTATAAAGCTTCTGAACCTTATTTCAGGGAGAGGTTTATGTCAAGCTGTTGCATTTTTGGAATTCCTTTTTTAAGTCAAATGGACTAAATATGTCTTTGAAGACTGTTCTGCCATTAAGGTTTTGTGGTTCTTCTTTAGTCAAATATATTAAATTATATTTCCTATACATTGGCTTTACCCATACTTTCAAAATTAGTTGCATAAAATATTTGTAATATTACATTTTTAAGATTATTAATATGTGTGGTCATGTTACCCTCCTCATTCTTAGATTTTTGCCTTTTGAGGTTTGTTTGTTCTGTTTGTTCAAAGTATCAGCCTTTTTCTTGATCATCTCTATTGTATATTTGTTGTCTATTGAATTATTTTCCTTTTATCCTCCTTTCTACTGTTTTAATTCTATAGTTCTTTTTCCTATTTTTATGAGTTAAACTGTTTATAAATTTTTACTGTTTTCTAATATATGCTTTTGGGACTATTAATTTCCTTTTCAAATGCTATCTTAAGGATATCTCACAAGTTTTGATGAGAAATGTTCTCACTGATATTTAGCATCCAAATATTTTTTAATTCACTGTGATTGCCTACTCTTAATGTATACATTATTTAGAAGTGTGATTTTTTAAAAAATTGTCTCTTGTGATTGATTTTAACACCATTTTTTGGCTTTTTGTTATTGATTTCTAATTTTATTGCATACTGGTCAAATAACGTATGGGATTAATAAAAACTTCTTTTGTAGATCAGTATGTGGTTAAGTTTTATAAACCATCAATCTAATTATAAAAGTATGTGTAATCTCTACTCCTTGGGTAAGGAATTTATATCTAACTTGTAAATTGTGTTGCTGAAAGTTGATCGGTGGTTTATTGGAGAAGTGTAAAATAATTTCCCTCTATTAATTTTATTAATAATTTTTGTAATTCAATCAATTCTCACTTTATGTGTGTTGAGGCTTTTTTGGACGCATGTGGGTTCCGGATAATTACTTTAATTACTTTTAGTTCATAGATGTTTAATTTTATTGTTACATAATATTTCACTTTATCCCTATTAATGCCTTCATCTCAAGATCATTTCCTTCTGGTTTTAATATAGCCAATATTGATCAGCTTCAACCTGGTGGAGAGTAAATATGGAATTCCCTCATTATCTGCCTTTAGACATATATCTTTTAGATAATATCTGACATATTTGGCAGAATCCTTAACTTTCCAGTCACGTTCAGTTATTAAGGGTTCATTCCAATCTAATCTAAAACTCTAATTC